ATTATTATATTTATGATGATGATTGATGATGATGATTATTGTTTTTATTATTAATGGATGTCTATCTATCTATCTAATTTTCAATACATCTATCTATCTATCTATCTATTTTCTATACATCTATCTGTCTATCTACTTTTTGTTCATTTTCAGTTTTTTTCTCATCCCATTACTCCTTTGGTACCTTTTACAAACATGGATCGGCTTCTGCTCTATAATGGATATGACAGTCTCTTCACTATTACACACCGACATAATATGTGAGATCGATTCGTGCAGGGGAATTATATTTTACTGAGTATCTCCATCCGTCGATGGGACTTATTCCACGGTACTCCACTTTTCTAGAATAATGTATTTTGTTCCTTTGTCATCTTTAAATGGACATCCCAGTCTCTGGTACGTAGGTTACTGTTTGCTGCAGGTCTTTCTGGATTCCGAAGAGTTTTGGGTCTCTCTGCCTGGGGTTCGGCTAAGATTTCCCTTTTAAGTGCCTTGATTATTGGGCAGACTTGTAGCGGGTGGTTTCCTGATACTGCTCTAAGTTGCCGTTCCTGAACTCCGTGTAGAAATTGTGTTTCAGTCAGTTACTTCCTATTTTGAGTCAGAACAGAACAACCTGCTCTTGACGGGTGAGACGGTAGTAAGGGTCAGCTTGGTTGTAGCTAAGGTGTTATTCCATCCTCTTTGCTTGTAGCCTCTATTTTGAAGGTACAGGGTGATCCCCCCCCCCCCAATAAAAAACTGTACAACTTTTTTCCCCGAATATTTCGCACAGAAATTGTTCTAGAATTCTGTAATTTGAAGCAGATATAATTCTTTTTTTTTAAAAGGAATTTGTTTGACACAAAACCCATGAAGAAGGAACCTATTTTGAAAACGGGAAAGGCTTAAAGAAAAAAGCACCAAAAAACGCAAAGTTCACCAATATTTAGAAATCTTGTGAAGTCGTGAAAAGATTGGTTGACTTTATTCTTTATTTTCTCTTTGACATTTATTTTTCCATCCCTATAACATTTCAGCAATATTAAGTTTCTTTTACAGAATTTAAAAAAACAGAACGATTTCATTCTGGAATTCCTAGAAGCAGTGCTCTGCATGTCTTCCTTTGAACTCGACACATTTTTAACGCGTCGTTCGAAATGTTCAGTGGCACCCAAACACAAGGACCTGTTAAACCAAGAGTGTTTAAGCCACATACACGGTACATATTATTATTCAGTATGAAGTGGCTTCTAGAGACAATAGGGAGTGGGGTGCCCAATAAACAGCACTTTTGGAGGAAATAATCCCGCTTTTCAAGACAATCGAGGAATCATGAACACATTGCCATGCTCTGATCCATGCCATCTCGGCCTAGCGAAGATAAAATAGGTACAGTCGTAACTGCAGATCGTCTTCCGACAGATGTCTCATGGGACTCGACTACTGCAATCTGCACCCTGGTGAGGTTTAAAGGGCTGTGCATGGTGTGTCATTTTAAAAGGAAATATTTTGTTCTGATTCGCTATAGATCCAAATCGACGGAATTTCTCTACTCATGACGCCAAAGGTCTTGAGGGCACCTAAGCATTCTTTCCATGCCGTTTTCAGAACTTACGAAATGTCAGGGGTGGTGCGTTTGTGGAGAGGTAATGTTCAACTCCAAAAGCTCTCTGCTCTTTACTAAACCTAACCATTATCTCAGCAGGCAAATGAAATTTGGTAAAAATAATATTTTCAGACTTCTGTCGACTTGTTAGGCTGCTGTTGCTTGCAATGTGGCGCGATTGTAGCCACTTTTAGTTGTAGGCCTAATGCAAACTGTTCGTCATGCTTACGAAAAAGGGGACACGGTTGAAAATGGGTTGTTGTTGTTTTTTAATGCACCATATAGAGCAAAACCATTGAATGGATATATCTAAAAATGATCATCAAGCACATTCCTTTTGGCTACCTAATATTATGTTCAAATCTAAAACACACAACTTTAGAATGGAGGAAGATATTTACAAAACAAGTTGTACAGTTGTTTGTTATGGGTTTTTTTGGGATCACCCTATTTGGCGTCCGTTTGCAATAGTTGTTAACAGTTCATATAGCTTTCTGTCTCTGGTTGTAGCCGAATGGCTGCAGTTTCCAGAGTATCTGATTCTGCTTTGCAGTTTGTAGCCCAAAGGCTGGTTGTAACGCTTTCTTTGATTTCCTCTCCTGTTGGGACCAGGATGCATATTTCTGCCCCTCTTTTCCTGACTGCATTTTCAGCGGGGCCGTCTGTGTAAGCTTTCCACGACAAGATCAAAACCAGGAAAATTCTACATGGACTCAGAACTATTCGGTCAAAATCTGCCACAATCCAAAAGAAAATCACAACTCTGTCAAAATTGCCATAATTCGACGTGGACTCACAATTGTACGGTCAGATTAAGCCACGGTTTAATCCGTTTAGTCCAAAGTCAATCGGTCAAAATCAGCAACTATGCAAATATGACGCGTGATAAGAATATTATTTTTTTTTAATGAATGATTACCTGTCCGTCTGTCCGTGGCTACTAGAGTAAGCCATGTTGATGATAGACAATAATTCGGAGGAAGTGCCTCTTAAATTTCTCAACGTTTTGAAAGAGACGTTTAATGTATACAAGTCTCTCCTTCCCTGTGTATCTGTCTATCTGTCTGTTTGTCTGTCTGTTTGTCTGTCTGTCTGTCTGTCTGTCTCTCTCTCTCTCTCTCTCTCTCTCTCTCTCTCTCTCTCTCTCTCGCTCTCTTTCTCAACCAGTTGCTCCCTTTCTTTCGCTATTTATCTATCTATCTATCTATCT